GAAATTAAAAGTATAAAATTAGTAACAATCATCAAACTCATAAGAAAGAGAAACTGTAATTAATTAAAGGGATTACAAACCAGTTTTGGAAGTGTTCTCCCGCTATGTTTCCCACATAGTTCAAAGCTTTGCTCCATTCTTGCTTCTTATCCTCCGTTTTATGAGCACAAGTTTCCTTGAAAGCGATCCCAAAATCTCCGGTTTGTTTGCGAACATCAGAAGGATCTACTCCGTAGAAGACAGTCATCACGATTTGCCCAAATTTTTTTTGGCAATCGACAATGTCCAAAAGCTCATCCAAACACCAACTGGAAGATGCATAGCTCTTTGTGAGCAATACGATCGCGATCCTCGATTCTCTAATGGCTGTCTTGAGAGATGAGGCAATGGTGTGGCCTCTCTCCATCCATTGATCATTGAACATGGTAATTCCATTGTCGCGGAACTGTTTACGTAAATGGGTGAGAAGTGTCTGACGGACGTCTGGTCCATGGAAGCTAGTGAAGACATGGTGTCTCCAGTTGCGAGGTGGGGAAGAAGAAGAAGAAGCCATGACAGGTGAAGAAGAAGAAGAAGCCATGAGCAGAGATGATCTTGAGTGGTTAAGAAAGTGTTAGGATAAGAAATGGGAAAATAGCAACTCACTTATATATATAGAGAGAGAGAGAGATGGGAAGTTTCTTTGCAAAGTTAAGGAAATTTCAAACAATGTAAAATAGAGAAGAAAAAGAAAAGTCAATGAAATTTTGGACTCAATATTGCAAACGCGTAAAGAAGCAGCTTACATAGCAAGTTGTATAGTCTTCATCCTTGGCCTGATTCCCAGATGTGTTTAGGATAAGCAAAGCTGTGTTCACTTATTGTGATAGAGACGGTAGTAGTAAACGAAATATCAAAAGAGTTAAATGTGTTTTTGGAAAAACGAGTAAATAGGAGAAGAAACTGTCAACTGCGGGCAACCGTTAACTTCTGAAATGGGTTGTGGCTTGTTCGTTTGGTCACCGCAGGCAGTTGCGGCAGCGGCTGCGGCGAACGCAACGTTTTTAGCCGCTAAATCAAATCGACGTTCAAAACTTTTAATCGCTGAACGTTGCGATCACCGCAGCGGCAGCCAAACGAACAACAATTTTTGCCGCCTTCGCAGCCGCAGACAAAACAAACATGCATTTTTGTTAGTCAGCTTCTGTTCTCAACTTCGTTTTTCATCTTGGCTCAAGGTTGAGATTTAGTTTTATCAAAAACACAATACACAAGTTTTCATTATACTTGTCATATATGAATAGTGATTTCATATTTCTCTCACAAGTTAGTTGTGATTCTGGAAACAAGTGTGCACACCCAATGAATCACATTAACAAACAAAATGTTGTTGTTTGTATCTCTACATGCACACCAATTTATAGATCATACAAAAACTTAAACAGATTATAAGTAGTTACATTTTCCTTTTAGCTTCCTGAGTTTGTTTAATCAATCCTCCACATAACACAAATATATGTACCAGTGGTTTTTAAACATATAAGAGGTGGTCTGGCCTGGTTGCAAGAGCGAATTGAGATGGACCGTTGTGGTTGATTTTTAAGTTATTTTATGCTCTTTTTTTTTTCTTATGAAGGTTTTTGGTTTATATTCAAACTTCTGATTCTTTATTTAAAAATAAAAGAAAATATAAAATCAATTCTTATATTTTGGTATTTTTGGAAAAAAAAAAATTTAGTACTTTTGAAAAAAATAACAATTTTATGGTATTTTTGAAAAAACAAAATGTTGTATTTTGAAGAAGTATCTCTTTAGATGCGTCCAAACCCGTTCAATTTAAGCAGAAGACCGACTTTAGTGGTGGCTATTTTAGGAGAACTTCTGCTCCCATGCCATCATCGTCTCCAAACTGTTCGAGACGTGGCATTTGTTAGACTGATGGAAAATGAAAGAAGAGCTTAACATGGATGCTTCATCAATGTTTTTTAACTGATGACTCTAGTATAAAACAAATAAAGCCAATACCTTGAAGGTTCAGTGAGAAAATGATGTAATCTGAGTGCTGCATTAGAAGGAAAAATATATTCAGCTTTTATCGACAAACAAATAAATACGATATGATAATTTTCAAGATATATTTCACAGAAAAACTATAATTCCTTCAATAGATTGAAATGAACTAAGAATGTTCCTTCAATACAATATGCAAAACCATAATCAAACCTTCATCAAGTCTAATAACCGCACTATACATGAGCAACATGACATTTAACAAAAAACAACACAAGAAATTAAGAATCATTCAAATAAATCTTTTCAAATTCCAAATGCTCTTTAAACCCAAAAAAATCTAAAATTCATCAATTTCATTGAAACAAACATGCTTATAAGCTTTACCTGTGACTTTAACTGCCATCTTCTTTCTAGAGTGAGCTTTTGCGCCATTTAAAACGGGAAAATTTCTTAAAAAGTCTCCATCTAATTTTAATTTGGAAGTTTAATACCCAATGTTATTTGATTGGAAATTAAATTTTGGTCTATTAATACATTAAGTATATAAAAATTGTCGAATCGAATAAACCGCTTAATCGGATTGACGGAATCACTAAACCGAAGTTGACGAAATCACTAAACCGAAGTTGACGAAATCACTAATCCCTAAACACACGGGTAATTTGGGGTTATCCAAAGATTGCATTGTCCTTTGCTATTACCCCAAATCGAATTGGGATCGACAAACCCTAAGTTTAGTGTAATTCCATTAACCCCGGTTTAGTGATTCCGTCAATCCAATTATCGTTTGTTAAGCAGTTTTTTCGATTCGACAATTTTTATATACTTGATGTATTAATAGGCAACAAATTAATAAACCATGTATTTTGTTTCTAATCAAATAACATTGGGTATTAAACTTCCAAATTAAAATTAGATGGAGACTTTTTATGGAATTTTCCCCATTTAAAACCAAGAGCACAACGTCTTCCTCTCCTCTCCTCTCCTCTCAAAACCCTAGATCTACAGCGCTGCCGTTTGGATCCGTTTGACTCTCCGCCGCCTGAGGCTTCACCCTGTGATCCGTTTGACTCTCCGCCGCCTGATGATAGCACTGATCTGGGAAAGGACGACAAGCCGACTTGAGAGAAAGATTCAAGCATAGGTCTTCTTCATATTCGGTGGGAGCAGATGTCTTCGTCACAGTTCATGATCTTCTAATGTCCAGGAATTCAGATTCCGATTGTCTTCTTTGTCGGATGCTTCTTCTTCCTCGTCTGATTCTCCGTCGTCTGTATCCTTATCCCAGTCTTCATCCTCAACTGATTCTTCGTAGTATAAACGTGTTTTCCAGTCTTGTTCTCCAGATCCCCAATATCTGATTCCCTTTGGTTCGTCCGTCAAGATGTTGACACCACATTCGAAAATCTTCTTATGGTCTTTACAATAATATGATCTAAACTTGAATTCAAGCACTATCTCTTTGCTCACTTCAGAGGGATCCATTACTGGCAAGCTCATAAAAAATATGAGTAGATGTTTCCTGTCAAAATCTACGTAATAATTTTCTTGGACTAGATCCGCATCTAACCACATATACTTTACTGAGTTGCCGATGAATTTGCAAATCAACTTTTCACAGTACCAGGTTCTTTTCGCCACAAGGCAAACTTTGACTATGCTGAAATCGGAAGGACCAACTGTTGAGGAATCTCCCCTAACTCGATTACCGATGGAATCCTTATATCTGTTGAAATAAGAACGAGGAATTGTTAACTTTTTTCCTCTGCCTCTGTAATCAAACTCTTCAGGTACTTCTATTCTGGGAAACAAAGTCAACCCCTTGAAACACGATCTTTGGATAATCGCTCGTTTTGCTTGTCGACTCAATCTGAAGCAGTTACTAAGATAGAGTTTTGCTTCTGGAGTGTTTAAAGGGTCGCTTAATCTCTCCAGTGATTCACAATCGCTTGCACATAGCACATGGAGCGAATCAGGGAGCTCTGGCAAAGACTCAAGTCTTTTGCAGTCTGATATATTAAGAGTTTCTAAGTTATGGACATTTGATGCAGTCTGCAATCCTCTCAATCTGACTATTGCTGAGGTCTAGCTCTGTTACACTCGTGGGCAGATGTGTTGAGAAGGTCTTGATATTCTCATTCACTGATATTCTAACTTCTTTAAGATGAGAGCAATGCCTAAATGATACAGGCAACTCTTCTACCCCTGTCGCTGATATACTGAGAAATGTGATGTTGGTTGGCATTTCTGGAGCAATTCTCAGTCGTGGGCAATCAAGAATAGAGAAATATTCTACAGATGCCAAGTTGATGAGAGATGGAATGACCTGTAGACTTTCGCAATAATACATCCATAAGTGATTTAGCTTAGGAAGATTCACAACTGAGGACGGAATCTCTACCAAAGCTTTGCACTTACTCACATCCAATGTCTCCAGATTCTTAGCTTTTGAAAGGTCTGGGAGTTCCATCAAACAAGATGACCCACTCAAATCCATTTCTTTGAGATTTGGTAGTTCCTAGATGTGAAAAAGCAGAACATAATGAGAACTTACTTTTTTTTTTTCATTTTAAATATTACTAATGTAAATATTTCTATTATCAAAAAACCATTATCCCCTTTCCCATAACTAACCTGGGTTCCTTTTCCTTCCCATAGCCTCTCGAGCTCGCTATCCTGCATTATGAGTCTAATGAGATTTTTTGGGTGAAATGTAAAAGATTTTCTCGGATATGCCTCCCAATGTAGTAACCTTAGGCTAGTTGGAAACTCCATATTCTCTGGTACGTACAACTGTCTTTCTCCGCAATATCTCCCACCTTTGACTTCTAAAATAAGAAGCTTGAACATTTTTATAAAAGCCTTCTTGTTTATTCTTAAATCGTCGTCGATCTTTGCTATGTCCAGTGATAAACCTAAAGCTGATCCAGTACCCTAACAAATATTCCAAACTATAACATGTTAGTGCCAAGAGATAATCTGCTTAAATAATAACTTGGTTAATAATGCAAAATCCTTGCCCAAAAAAAAATAAATAAATAATAATGCAAAATCCTTCAATTAAGAAAACTTACTTTCGCCTCTTCTAGGACATAACAAATATCCTGGGGATCTTCTAAAATCTTGCGTTTGGAATTTTTTTGTTTGGAATTAACTTCTTTAGCCATTATGCGTAGCAAACTGTGCATTACCACTGTACCATGATCCATATGTATGAGATATCTATTAGCTAGGTTTTTCAACCCAAGTCTAACATTCAATATTTTAGTATCGTAGAAAATGGATGCCACATCATCAACACGTTTAGAATTGAAGAATACTGCAATGAAGAGAAAAAGAAGTCGGTCTTCCTCGTGTAAACTTTCGTAGCCCACTTTCAATGCACTCTCAATTCTTCCATCGAGAGAACTTTTAAACCTTTCCAAATTTTCAATCCAGTCAGCAACATCATGGTTATTTCCCCGCAATGACGACCCCAGAATACACAGAGCCAATGGAAGGTTGCAACAACTTCTTACAACTTCATACGCAAGATCCATAAACACATCAGGTGGAGAGGCTTGTGGAAAAGCAGAAAGACAAAAAATCTTTAGAGCTTCTTCATCTGATGGAAAACCCACTTGGTATATACCAGTGATACCATGTTGCTGCAAAATCTCTTTGTTTTCAGTTGCTATAATGATCCTACTTCCAGGACCAAACCACTTAATATCAACCAAAGCCTCTAGTTGATCTAAACTGTCCACATCATCAAGAATGATAAGAACCTTTTGATATTGCAGCCTTTCTTTTATTACACCTAAATTGAATATCCTAATATCCTTTAGGTTCAAAATCCTAGAGAGAAGTTGCTCTTGCAAATAAAGCTGCAACCCATACTTGTCAAGTCCACTTTTATAGCTTCCCCTAACGTTTTCCATAAAACAAGAACGCTGAAACCTGTAAGAGAGTCGACTATGTAAAGCTCTAGCAAGGGTACTCTTACCAATGCCTGCAGGACCAGAGATTCCAACAATCTTAACTCCAAGATTATCTAAATCAAGCAAAGACTCCATTTTGCTCACATGATTGTCTAGTCCAACCATGCCATCAAAATCCTTACACGGTGTGACATTCAGTTTATGTGAAACATCTCTAGCAATCTTCTCTATCTTTTCTGCTTCATTTTCCCTAACAAAAAGAAACAAATAAAAATTCATATATCAGGACAAAAGTCATAAAGAGAACATTCCTCTATTTCCTAGCTTCACATAAACCACCGATTTATGACACACTCCAAGACATTTTTGTCTAAAACAAACAGCTAAACCCATTCGATTAAATACGACGAAACCATTACAATTTTTTTATCAAGAATTAAGATATATAACTGTAATCAAACTTCAGTTTCATCACAGCTCATTGCATACAAGAGCAAAATTTATGTCAAATAAACTTAAAAGTTTCAAATAAAATAAAAAATTATCAAACTCATAAGAAAGATAAACTGTAATTAATTAAAAGGGAATGCAAACCAGTTTTGGAAGTGTTCTCCTGCTATGTTGCCTACATAGCTCAAAGCTTCTCTCCATTCTTTCCTCTTATCCTCTTTTTTACGGGCACAAGTTTCATCGAAAAAACTCCCGAATTCTCCGGTTTGACTGCGAACATCAGAAGGATCTACGCCGTAGAAGACAGTCATAACGATTTGCCCAAATTCTTCTTTGCACTTCATGATTTCCAACAGCTCATCTAAACACCAACTGGAAGATGCATAGTTCTTCGTGAGTAATACGATCGCGATCCTTGATTCTCTGATGGCTTTCTTGAGAGATGAGGCGATGGTGTTGCCTCTCTCCATCCCTTGATCATCGAACATGGTAATTACATTGTAGCTGAACTGTTTGCGTAAATGGGTGAGAAGTGTCTGACGGACGTCTGGTCCATGGAAGCTAGTGAAGACATGGTATCTCCAGTTGCGAGGTGAGGAAGAAGATGAAGAAGCCATGACAGCTGAAGAAGAAGGAGAAGCCATGAGCAGAGATGATCTTGAGTAGTTAACAAAATGTTAAGATAAGAAATGGGAAAATAGCAACTATCACTTATATAGAGAGAGAGACAAATGGGAAGTTTCTTTGCAAAGTTAAGTAATGCAAATAACGCGTAAAGAAGCTTACATAGCAAAGATGTGTTCAAAAGAGCAAAGTAAACGAAATTTCAAAAGAGAGAAGAAACTGTCAAATGTCAACTGTTTAAATTGTTTGAAAATGTTTTTGTATTCTTCCAAAAGCTATTTTTAAAGCATGTTAGAAAGTTTCTTACATTTGTGGAAGCTATCTTTCTTTATTTATTTTAAGAGAGAAGAAATTTCGAAGACTTTTTTGGGCACTTCCAAAATGGGAAATATTTAAATCCCGAACTTACATATTTTGGCCATTTTAATCCTCGACTTTCACTGTGGCCATTAAAATCATAGACTTCTCGTTGGCGTTATTTTTAAATCACTATCTTCTGTTGACTGAGCTAGATTGAGCATGTTGTCAAAAAAAATCTCTAATAGAGGAGTTAACAGCCGTTTAGGATCGTTAATCAATCTCTGTTAAGTCGAAAAATGAGAATCACAAGGACAAACGACGTCGTGCTGCCTTAAACGAAATGCCTAAATTTCCAAATCGACATCGTTAGAGAATTTTTACGTAGCACTTGTCATATATATATATGAATATTATTGATATTTATTTCATATTCCCTCGTAAGTTAATGTGATTCAGGAACCAAGTAGGCTCCGATAAAAACGCGTAAAGAAAGAAGAAATTTCGAAGACTTTTTTGGCATTGTAGTAAACTACTTACTTGCGTGTCAAGTAGCGGAGAAAACCCTAAGATATTGACATTGAGAACAAAACTGATACAGATCAATGATTTGCACTTTCTTGATTTGTTTACTGCAATCGAGTCTTCAAGTGTACTCTTTTGAAAGTTTAATGTGTTTTATCTATACTCTTACAATTATGTATTCAAAGTAGAATTTTGAGTAATTTGAGTTTTATTGAGTTTTTAAATGACTTTGATGCTTTTAGGGAAGTTCATATGATTTTTGTAAGATTCTTTTAAATTCCAATTAACACCATGAAATTTTGGTTTCTCTATTTTTAACTAAAAAATCCTCTAAAATCCTTTAGTCATTAAAAATCAAACACACAAATTATTTTTAATACTGGTGGATTTAATATAGATTTCTAAATTATTAGTTCAATAACACTGGATTTCATTGGACTTTTTAAAATCCATGATTGATTAACATATGATTTGTAAAATGTCTACAAAACTCTTAAATTTCTACTTTGAATACACCTCCTTAGTAAAATTAAGATTTTACCAGTGGTACATAGCGAGACAATATTTGTATTCTAAATGTTGTATATCAATAGTGGTAATTATGCTACGACGGTTTTGCTACTTTATTATAAAGAAATGTTTTAATTATAGTGATATAGAGTTTGGTTGATTTAAATGGAGTATATGCATAAACTTACGAAAGCATGAGGTTTGATTCCTAATGTTATCAAATGCTTTGAATGATTAATTTAGAGGTCGCAAAAAATATTTACAGGTTGAGAACTAATGTGAGTATATACAGAATCTGATGATGTAGTTTTTTAATTGTGATTTACATAAATTTTTAGGCAGGTGTGAACATTGGTTTAACCGGCAGTATAATATTTTATCAATAAATATAAAAATGATAAAAATTTTCATTAATTAAAGTGTAAGATTTAAATTTCTATACTTTTAGACCCCTACTGCCTAGGTAATTTTAGGATTCAGTGTTGCAATTACACATTTTTTTTAAAAACAAATGTTGTATTTTGAAGAAGTATCTCTTTAGATGCGTCCAAACCCCTTCAATTTAAGCAAAAGACCGACTTTGCAACTGGTGATGCGTTGTGTCTATGACAATAAAGTACAAAAAGCTTAGTAATTTGCTATTACAAGAGTGAAAGACATCACAACAAAGCAGAAAGAGTTGATCACTGAAGACAACATGAAGACTCTTTTAGTGGTGGCTAGATAAATTAGAACGTTCTTAGCACATAATACACATATTGGATATTTTAAGAGAGCTTCTGCTCCCACGCCATTGCCGTCTCCAAACTGTTTGAGACTTGGCATTTGTTAGACTGATGGATGCTTCATCAATGCTTTTCTACTGATGGTTTTAGTATAAAACGAATGAACCCATTACCTTGAAGGTTCAGTGAGAAAATGATGTAATCTGAGTGCTGCATTAGAAGGAAAAATATATTCAGCTCTTATCGACAAACAAATAAATACGATATGATAATTTTCAAGATATATTTCAGAGAAAAACTATAATTCCTTCAATAGATTGAAATGAACTAAGAATGTTCCTTCAATACAATCTGCAAAACCATAATCAAACCTTCACCAAGTCTAATAACCGCACTATACACAACATCAAACCAGATACATCTAATTCCCAGATGAACAAATTCACAAAGTGGTGTGTCAAATTTTGAGAGCAACGTGAAATTTAACAAAAAACAACACAAGAAATTTAGAATCATTCAATAAATCAGTTCAAATTCCGAATGCTCTTCAAAACCAAAAATTCATCAATATCATTGAAACAAATATGCTTATAAGCTTTACATGTGACTTTAACTGTCATCTTCGTGCTAGAGTTAGCTTTTGCGCCATAATCGTAGCAGCCATAAAGTAAAAAAGAACTTCTTCAGTGAAACCTTGTTAACCTAGATACCACTTTGATGTTTACTTGGTCCTATCCGCATATGCTTAGCTGCTCTATCATCTTCTCCAACATCTCTAAGAAACTGACTAATGCTCGTACCAGCTATAAGTGATTGAGATTCACATATTTCAATGCTCTCATCTCTTTTATCAATTACTTCTTCACCTGTATATTTCCTTTTCCTCGACCCTTCAGGGCGATCACAGTGATTGTGCTGATCTAGGAAAGGACGACAAGCCGTCTTGAGAGAAAGATTCAAGCATAGGTCTTCTTCATGAGCAGTAGAAACGCCGCCGTAGAATCTGGGAAAGGACAACAAGCCGGCTTGAGAGAAAGATTCAAGTAGAGGACTTCGTCACAGTACCAAGAAAGTCTTCCTGATTCACTGATACAGATTCGTATTCATGATCTTCTAATGTCAAGCAATTCAGATTCCGATTGTCTTCTTTGTCAGGTGTTTCTGCTTCCTCGTCTGTAGTATAAACGTGTTCGCCAGTCTTCTTCTCCAGATCCCCAACATCTGATTCCCTCTAGTTCGTCCGTCAAGATCTTGACACCACAGTCCATAAACGGATCATCGTATGTATCTGGTGATGTACACTTGAACTCAAGCACTATCTCTCTGCTCACTTCAGAGGGATCCATTAATGGCAAGCTCATAAAAAATATGAGTAGATGTTTCCTCTCAAAATATAGGTACTCATTTTCTCGGACTAGATCCGCATCTAACCACATATACTTTACTGAGTTGCCGATGAATTTGCAAATAAACTCTTCACGGTACCAGGTTCTTTTCGCCACCACAAGGCAAACTTTGACTATGCTGAAATCGGAAGGAGCAATTGTTGAGGAATCTCCTCTAACTTGATTACCAATGGAATCCTTATATCTGTTGAAATCAGATCGAGGAATTGTTACCTTAGTTCCTCTGCCTCTGTAATCAAACTCTTCAGGTACTTCTATTCCGGGTAACAAAGTCAACCCCTTGAAACACGATCTTTGGATAATCGCTCGTTTTGCTTGTCGACTCAATCCGAAGCAGTTACTAAAATAGAGATTTGCTTCTGGAGTGTTTAAAGGGCCGCTTACTCTCTTCAGTGATTCACAATTATTTGCAAATAGCGCAATGAGCGAATGAGGGAGCTCTGGCAAAGACTCAAGTCTTTTGCAGTCTGATATATTAAGAATTTTTAAGTTATGGAGACCTTTGATGCAGTCTGCAATCCTCTCAATCTGAGTATCCCTGAGGACTAGCTGTGTTACACTCGTGGGGAGATGTGTTGAGAAGTTCTTGAGATTTTCATTCTCTGATATGTCAAATTTATCAAGATGAGAGCAATGTCTAAATGATATAGGCAACTCTTCTACCCCTGTCGTCTCTATCCAGAGATTCTTGATGTTGGTTGGCATTTCTGGAAGAATTCTCAGTTGTGGGCATTTAAAAATATAAAAAAGTTCTACAGATGCCAAATTGATGAGAGTTGGAATGACCTGTAGACTTTCGCAATTATTCATCCATAAGTACCTTAGCTTAGGAAGATTCACAACTGAGGACGGAATCTCTACCAAAGCTTTGCACCCATTCACATTTAATGTCTCCAGATTCTTAGCTTTTGAAAGGTCTGGGAGTTCCATCAAACAAGATGACCAACTCAAATTCATCTCTTTGAGATTTGGTAGTTCCTAGATTTGAAAAAGCAGAACATAATGAGAACTTACTTTGTCATTTCATTTTAAACATTGATATGTGAATATTGCAATTATCAAATATCAATTATCCATGTTCCCATAACTAACCTGAGTTTCTTCCCATAGCCTCTGGAGCTTGCTATTTTCCATATTCAGTATGACGAGATTTTCTGGGTAAAACTGAAAAGATTTTCTCGGATATGCCTCCCAATCTAGTAACCTTAAGCTACATGGAAACTCCATATTCTCTGGTATGGACAACTGTCTGCCTCCGTCACATTTCCAACCTATGACTTTTAGGATATGAAGCTTGTACATTCTTATAAAAGCCTTCTCGCTTATATTTAATTTGTTGATCTTTGCTATGTCCAGTGATACACCTAACACTGATCCAGTACCCTAATAAATATTCCAATCTATAACTTGTTAGTGGCCATAGATAATATGCTTAAACAATAACATGGAAAAAACGCAAAAGGTCTTAATTTTGAGAGAACTTACGTTTGCCTCTTTTAGAACATCACAAACATCATCGGGATCTTCTAGAATCTTCCGTTTGGAAGGTTCTTCATTGATATTAACTTTTTTACCCATTAACTGTAACAAATTGTGCATTACCACTGTACCATGATCCATATGTATCAGACATCTATTAGCTAGGTTTTTCAACCCAAGTCTAACATTCAATACTTCAGTATCGTAGAAAATGGATGCCACATCATCAACAGGTTTATAATTGAAGAATACTGCAATGAAGCGAAAAAGAAGTCGGTCTTCCTCATGTAAACTTTCGTAGCCCACTTTCAATGCACTCTCAATTCTTCCATCGAGAGAACTTTTAAACCTTTCCACTTTTTCAATCCAGTCAGCAACATCATGGCTTCCCCGCAATGACGACCCCAAAATACACAGAGCCAATGGAAGGTTGCAACAACTTCTTACAACTTCATACGCAAGATCCATAAACACATCAGGTGGAGAGGCTTGTGGAAAAGCAGAAAGACAAAAAATCTTTAGAGCTTCTTCATCTGATGGAAAACCCACTTGGTATATATCAGTTATACCATGTTGCTGCAAAATCTCTTTGTTTTCAGTTGCTATAATGATCCTACTTCCAGGACCAAACCACTTAATATCAACCAAAGCCTCTAGTTGATCTAAACTGTCCACATCATCAAGAATGATAAGAACCTTTTGATATTGCAGCCTTTCTTTTATTACACCTAAATTGAATATCCTAATATCCTTTAGGTTCAAAATCCTAGAGAGAAGTTGCTCTTGCAAATAAAGCTGCAACCCATACTTGTCAAGTCCACTTTTATAGCTTCCCCTAACGTTTTCCATAAAACAAGAACGCTGAAACCTGTAAGAGAGTCGACTATGTAAAGCTCTAGCAATAGTACTCTTACCAATGCCTGCAGGACCAGAGATTCCAACAATCTTAACTCCAAGATTATCTAAATCAAGCAAAGACTCCATTTTGCTCACATGATTGTCTAGTCCAACCATGCCATCAAAATCCTTACACGGTGTGACATTCAGTTTATGTGAAACATCTCTTGCAATCTTCTCTATCTTTTCTGCTTCATTTTCCCTTAACAAAAAGAAACAAATAAAAATTCATATATCAGGACAAAAGTCATAAAGAGAACATTCCTCTATTTCCTAGCTTCACATAAACCACCGATTTATGACACACTCCAAAACATTTTTGACTAAAATAAACAGCTAAACCTATTCTATTAAGTATTAAGATTAAGATTAAGCACAAAAACCATTACAAATTTTGATCAAGAATTAAGATATATAACTGTAATCAAACTTCAGTTTCATCACAACTCATTACATACAATTAGGCCTGACCAATCATGGTTTATTAACCACAAGTTACGGTTATAAATTTTCTTGAGGTAATTAGCGGTTTGGACAGTTTTTACAAAAGTAATCAGTGGTTTGGACCATTCACTATTTATAATTGGCCAAACACAATAAATTATCTGTTCACTAAAAGTAGTTCTCCTTCGATACCCTCAACATTTCTCTGGAATTACACTTATATCATTACTATTTTAATATAATATTTATTTTTTATTTCTATTTCTTCTTTTCCCCCATTCATTTAAAGTTGAATCTATCACAAATATTTATCCCAAATTTTTCTTCTAATATGATATTAATCTTAAGAACATTTTTTCAATCTATAAACACCAATTTTGATATATTTTGCAAATCTATAAAGAGTTATTTTTTCTTATTTTTCTTATATAATATGTTTGTACTCCATTTTAGTATTCATACATTTTTAGCATGTTTGTACTCTGTTTTTTGGTTGTTGTTTGTACTCGTCTTCTAGTGTTAGATCTCCCATTTTTGTGTTTGTATTATTCTTCAGGTATTCGTACTTCCTTTAATATGGACATTTTTATGTTGTGATATCTAGACTCTGTCTTTTTTTTACGGGATACTACTCTAACCATATTCTGTATTTGGATGCGCTAGTCTATTTATATGGATACAAGACAGTTTCATTTCTAATATTTATACTCTATAAATTGGGTTCGTATTCCTTTCACTGTGTTCGTATTCTGTTTACAGAGTTCGTATAGCAGTTTTTGCGTTCGTATACCATTTACAAAGTTCATATACCAGTTTTCGAACCCCCAATACAGAATCTGTTTTAGCATGTTTGTACTAAGTTCTTTTGTTGTGTGTACTCCTCTTATAGTGTTTGATCTCCTATTCTTGTGTCCGTTCACTCCTTATAGTGTTCGTATTCTTCCATATCTCGTATTCGTACTCTGTATCTCGTGTTCGTATTATATTTTTCTGTCATTTAGTCTGATTGGCTACAGGTTTGTGATTACATAATTTTTTTTTTCTATTATCAGTTTGGTTATAGATATATTTGGGTTGATTAATGCGACTTAGGGTTTATTATCAAAATTGGTTATAGATATATTTAGGTTGATAAATGCTATTTTGGGTTTATTATCAAGTAGGTTATAGATAATTTTGGATTGATTAATGCAACTTAGGGCTTAGATTTTAGAATTGAAACAAATATTTAGATTTAGGGTTTAGATTTAAAGTTATGTTTAGGTCGACAAATGTTTCTTAGGGTTTATATTTGAACGTTGAGGGGTTGATAAGTTGAAATTAGATTAAGTTTGGGTATAGACTTTTGATTTAGGGTTTAGATTTAAAGTTATGTTTGAGTTGACAAATGTTTCTTAGGGTTTAGATTTTAACATTGAGGGGTTGATATGTTGAAATTAGATTAAGTTTGGTTATAGACTTATAAAGTTATGCTTGGGTTGACTAATGTTTCTTAGGGTTTTGATTTGAATATTGAAGAAACGATAAGTTCAAATTAGATTAAGTTAAGTCTAATTTATATTTGAGAGTTCCTTAAGGTAAAAGTACACCATTTTCAGAGTTCAAATCTAAATACTAGTATTTAGGTGATATGTACTCTTAAGACAAAGTTCATTGATATTTACGAATACCCATTTCGGAGATCTAATATCTATACTGGTATTTTAGTTGATATGTACCAAATTGAGTTCGAGAATGTTCACCCGTTAGTACACCATTTTTGGAGTTCAAATCTTAGTACTAGTATTTTAGTGATATGTACTCCTAAAACAGAGTTCATTTATAAATAAGAATACTCATTTTGGAGTTCAAATCTTAATACTAGTATTTTAGTGATATATACTCCTATAACAGAGTTAGGATTAGTAGTTTAGGCTTTAATAACAAAATTATTTATATAACTCGTAGATATGTACTCTTCAAACAGAGTACATTGCTGTGTTTGGTACACCCATTACGGAGTTTATATATGAATACTAGTATGTAGTGTAGCCAATTATCAGCTTTGTACTGTAGATAAATGATACAATTCTTATTCAATACGTAGATTAAAACCCCAATGCATGATCTTAACTCTTATCCGTTCTTTCTCGTCACCCACACATTACCCATTTTAGTTATTTCACTCTCTCTATTACACACCCACTCTCACTACCTCTCTCACGCCTAACACGTATCCCATCTCCCAATATTAAATATTAAGGGGGCCAATTCTCAGTTTACTTTCTAAAAACTGTCCAACCCACCAATTCACCCAATTTTCTTTAACCATAACCATATCCTTTTTATATATACGGTTAAAACGATAACGGTTATATACGCTTACGATTAAATATTGTTACAGTTATTTGATGATTATGATATAGATAATATTATAAACATTTTTTTTATATTTTCTTACCATATCAAATAATTTTATTTATAACATGAAATATATGTAATTATATGATTCAAGTATTATAGTAAATTAGTTAAAAATTATTTTTATTTAATCAAACACCAGTACAAATTAAATAAATTAATGGTTATGAACCTACAAATAATTATATTAAATTAGTTTTTATTTGAATAATGAAAATGAGTAGTGCAGTGGATTAGAGTTACTAGTTGACACATTAAACCATTTAAATATTATTTTAATGAAATATAATTTTTATTAAGGGTTTAACCGTGAAGGTACGGTTAACCAAAGGTTTTATACGGTTATGGTTGATAACGGTTACGGTTAATATTCTCTTTATAACCGTGATTGATTTATTTTTACGGTTAACGGTTACAATTTGTATTAACTGTTTTATAAGGTTATGGTTGAAAAACGGTCCGGTTATGGTTAGAATTACGGTTAATGTTAGATTTTTTTCATGCCTATATACAATAGCAAAATCTATGCCAAATAAACTTACAAGTTTCAAATAAAATAAAAAATAATCAAAGTCATAAGAAAGATAAACTGTAATTAATTAATTAAAGGGAATGCAAACCAGTTTTGGAAGTGTTCTCCAGCTATGTTTCCCACATAGTTCAAAGCTTTGCTCCATTTTTCTTTTTGCTCCTCTGATTTACGAGCACAAGTTTCATCGAATACTCTCCCAAATTCTCCGTTTTGTTTGCGGACATCAGAAGGATGTACTCCGTAGAAGACAGTCATCACAAATTGCCCAATTGTTTTTTGGCAATCCAAAATGTCCAAGAGCTCATCCAGACACCAACTGGAAGATGCATAGTTCTTCGTGAGCAATACGATCGCGATCCTTGATTCTCCAATGGCTTTCTTGAGAGATGAGGCGATGGTGTGGCCTCTCTCCATTCCATTGTCATCGAACATTGTAATGCCATAGTGGTTAAATCGTTGGCTTAAATGACTGAGAAGTGTCTTACGGACGTCTGGTCCGTGGAAGCTAGTGAAGACATTGTATCTCCAGTTGCGAGGTGGGGAAAAAGAAGAAGAAGCCATGAGAGAGGATCTTAAGTGTTTAAGAAAGTGTGAGGATAAGAAATGGGAATATGGCAAAGCTGTGTTCACTTATAGAGAGAAAGAGAGAAATGGGAAATTTCTTTGCAAAGTTTCATTGAAAAGTCAAATGTATTTTTATAAACGCGTAAAGAAACTTACACAGCAAGTTGTATAGTCTCAAATCTTAGACAGATGTGTTTAGGATAAGCATTGTATGGAGGAGAAGATAGCAAAGCTGTTCGTGCTCACTTATTGTGAAAGAGACATCTGTAGTCTAGTCTTGTAAACGAATTTTCAAACGATTTAATGAGAGAAGAAACTGTCAACTGCATGCAACAGTATATATGGCATAATGAGAGAAGAAATTTCGAAGAGATGAAGAAAATTTACTTTGTACTTTCTTCTAATAATGTACAGGTTTGTTGTTGTTGTTGTATATCTTTACAGGCACACCAATGAATAGATCATACAAAATTTAAAGTAGTTTCATAACACAAATATATATACTTGTGGTTTTTCATCATATCATAATCATGTAGTTCAGCGGGTACCTTGAAGCTGTAACCCACCGGCATCAGGTGCTCTCGGTTTGACGGTGAATGTGATTGTCGGAGAAGCAGATGACTCTGATTCCACTTTGAACGGGACCTCAAACTGTACAGACTGATACAGGCAGACCTCGTCTTCTTTGCAATAGTACACCTGCAATTACAATTTTCATTAAAATTTATTGTAAGACGACAAAGCAACAATTTTGAAGCCTTAAAAAATGATGTTGAAGCAAACCTTGCAACTGATTTTTACAACAGAAGCCGACGTTGAAGATTGTTTAAAATGAAGTATCGTTGAACCTTCGGGACTGAGGTTTCCTTCCATTGTATCGATTGCTACTGCATTTTCAGGCTCCACATCTACCACAAACTTACTCCGCGCTTCCTGTGAAAATCGAACAAAACACATGTATACTTGTTAAAGATTAAGAGGACACAAAATAAGATGGGGGATAATATCTAGACCTTTGAGAAATGGTAGCCATCTGGTAATGAGATTTTGATATTCAAATCTCCTTCACGAGACGTAACAGAATCCACTTTGACAATCTTTGTATCAGCCGAAGCACGTTTTCTCAGACGTTTCAAGGATTTCGCCTTTGGCATTGGTGGTTGAACACCTTTTAACTCCAATGTAAGAATCTCTGCGTCTTCTTCCTTGTTCAAGTCTATGTATCTGATCAGACTATTATTTGTATCCGCCACAAACAGCCTCCCTGGAAACAGTATAGGTAACAAAATTTGCACTTAATCGTTCCTTCATTAGTCGTTAATAATAACTGTTAAAAAGACCAGAAAGTTACCGTCTTCAGTTAGAGCAAGTCCTGCAGGCTCTGAAAGCTACATCAGATACATGTAAAAACAATTTTCAAACTAACAAATCAGACTGACTATTTAGTCAATGTATAAAATTTTAGTAACCAGATCACACCTGAGCACCCTTGACCTTCCCATCCTTGAAACCAGCTTTTCCCGTTCCAGCGACAGTAACAACACGTTTGGTTACAGGGTCCAGCTTCTTAATCTACACATGAAAGTTTAGAGTTAAGATCTGGAAACGGTCAAAAATGTTTCTATTAGTATATTTGTATTAGAGTTGTTCCAAACTAAGTTCGTGGTAATCCGCAAGATCCATCCAATAAAGGAATTCTCTCTCAAATTGATCATATGGGAAAGTGTTTTCTTGGACATTCCAAATGACGTACCTTGTGGTTATAGCTATCAGTTAAATAAATTTGACCATCCTTTGCGCATAATACACCCAATGGATGTTGTAGGAGAACTTCTGCCCCCACGCCATCAACGTCTCCAAACTGTTCAAGAATTAGCCCATGTCAGAGACAACTGTGTAGAGATGGAACATTCAAACTTGTTAATCCACTAGAAATGCCATGGAAGACTTAACTATGGATACTTAAATATTGATACAGTACCTCTGAATACCAATATTGTTGGATAAGACAAATAAATTCATTACCTTGAAAAGATTCTCAGAGAAATATGGATCACCACCAGCGAGCAATCTTGATCCTCCAGTTTGAAGATCAAGGGCACGAATAGAACTGCTCTCGCTATCAGCAATATATGCTTCCTTCATACCTACATTTACATTATACACATAGAACTCAATCCTAATTCGTGCAAGAAGTGACAAGTGTGAAGTTTGTAGTAATTACCAGGTCCTAATGAGATTCCTGAAGGCTGAGCAAATGATGTAGTCTGAGGGCTGCATCAAGACAAAAAAAAAGATATAGCATACAAAGATGACTAACACTGACATCGAGTGATATAAGTAATATATAAAACTAGTATTTACATACGTAGAACCATTGAGGTTTCTTTCATAGCCGTTTCCACTGAAAACTCGAGTAATATCATCAACCACATTGTATTCCCAGATCTGGTGCTGACCTGCCATTGCAATGTATACCTTCTCACTCACCGGCTCAAAGCATACGTCCCAAGGAGAATTCAAGAGCTGAAAAAATTAAAGTCCACACATTTCAAATTGTTTAACCTCTTAAAAGAAAACATTTACACATGAATAGTTTAGAGTTGATAAGTTAACAGATGTAAATAATTTTAATAAGAAAAGGGTTCTCAGTCAAGTATCTTGCCTGTTTGATTCCTTTTTTTCCACCTTGGTAGTCTGAGCCTTTAGTTCCATTACCAGCCAGAGTTCGTACTCTCTCGTTGACAAAATCAATCTCCCTACGAAAAAGAAGTAGTGAAACTCCAAAATAAGATGTCGAAGTCAAAAGTTTGAGATTCCTGTTAGTGTTTACATATAAACATACATACATACCTCAAAGCATGATTCTCCGTGTCAGCAACATAAAGAAGATTCTTCTTTGCATTATAAGCAAGTCCCTGAAAAAATACAATCATGTATGTAACAATAAAGCTCATGTGGTTCGGAACCTATCGAGGAACAATTAATACAAAGCGAGATAACATATCTACCTGAGGACGATTAAATGCAGCATCTTCGAAGGAACCATCTTGGAAACCTTCTTGTCCGGTGCTGCCGATTTGGACGATGAAATTTCCTTCAAGATCAGTTACAATCTGCGAATTACACAGAATACTCATATTAGACAACAAGAAGAGATAACAAGGATTATCTAAAACGGCAAGGACATACAATACGGTTATGGTTACTGTCTGAGATGAATAGCCTGTTATTAAGAGTATCAATAGCCAACTTCCCCGGAAATTTCAATGGAGACGTGGCCAAACGTGGATCGTTGTCTTTCTCCAAACGTGTTGGAAGCGGAGTACTGTCTAATACATTCTTTCCACCATAATAAGTCAGAGCTGCTGCCACCAAGTCATCAAGATCCTTCAAAGGAAAACACCGAAGAACAGTCAAGTGATATTTCATGTGGAACTAAATGTATTTCACAAAACTAAAACGTTTTAGAGGAACAGAGTATTCATATTTTCACTCTTTATCACTCCAAAATGAAATCAACAATTTTATCAACAACGTGAGATTCTTTTCTTGCTAAAAAATTATAGGAAGAAGAGAAAAGAAAATCGCATAGGCAGACGTTAAAAACGTTACTTTGCGGTGACCTTCTCCGGCAATTTGTGCAATGACTTTGCCATTTGGAGAAACAACAGCAAATGTAGGCCACGAGTTGATGCCGAGCTCTCTCCACATGTACATGTCACCGTCATTCACAACCTTCAACGTGAGAGGGATAATTTATCAGTAAAAGTTATAACATAGCACTGAAAATGTATCCAAAGAGAGAACATCGAAGGAGAATGCAAATGATAAACAATGGTGTACAAAATGCAAAAATGATGCGAAATCCAGACCAGCTAAAATCTTTCCTATAAGGAAATGTGATTCCATCACTAGATTTCTTCAGAACTCCAGGAAATAGCATAAGTAACCAATTTCACAATTAATTAGGCAAAACTTTTAACATAGAAATTACCGGGTGGCTGATATCATAACGTAGAACTGCATTTCGTATGGCTTCTAAATCCTTCTCATTGTCGAACTTAGCTGAGTGTACACCCACAACAGTGAACTGTAACACAGATGGCAATTCGTAGGTTGAAGCTTTAGTTATCCCAAGTAAAATTTGAATTGCTTGAAGATCCCAAAATAACATATAAGAGAGCAGCAAAAGTAAAGACTCACTGGCATGTCCTTGTACTTCTTCTCAAGAAAGCCAAGATCTGGTAATACATGCATACAGTTTATGCAGCAGTACGTCCAAAAATCAAGTATAACCACTTTCCCTTTTAAATCCTGCTCCCAAAATGACAAAAGTTACTAAGAAGCATATAACTGCCTTTGATCATTCATATGCAAGAAAATTAATTTGGTATGTGCCAATGCAAGCCAATGCAAAGCAAATTATCTAATCTTTTCCGAGTTCCGACAGCTAAAACCAACAGCCTCTTTCAATAAACAAAATTTACCCGGCGAAACTGGAGAGGAGCAGTATTAAGCCAATCGAGTTTAGACGGGAATTCTGGCACAGATGTAGCTGTTTGCCTGGTAAAAAAACAATAGAAACAGAGCACCCACACAAGTCAAAACAGAAGGTCATCCACAATTTTTTTTCCGCTTGTGATAATTTCTAAAATATGTACTCTATATATGAGAATCTTTTCTAACGAAGAAATTACCGAACTATCGAATTATTGCCTTACATTGAATGAAATTGGATAAATATCAAATAGTTATACTTACTTGCTCTCTAGATCAGCAATGTAATCGACGAACTGTTGCACTCTCCCTTCACCTACAAGTTAAGACGAAAAACCAGGTAGCTTTCTTTACATCCGAATTCAGTAACGATGAAACTATACAGTATGTTCTTTAAAAAAATCTTCTCTTGTAAAACACTTTCTGGTCCAAGATCTGTTTGTTTGTAGCAATACTAAAGTGTAAATTTTACATTGTCAAAAAAGTATTAGACTTGGTGATTAGTTCATCTAAAGCTAATTACTGAACAGATTTGTGCAAGATTACAAAGACCATATCATTATTGAAGTAAAATGAGGTTGGTTATTACACATTCCGTCTATTTCTGACACA